AATACTCCACATAATTTACCCAGTCAAGGGCATTTTCACCTGCTGACAAATTTACATATTTCCCAGTGTCATTAGGTAAGAACTAGTCATCAGAATAGCAGAGGGTGTGATCATTAGTTAGTTCATTTATTTGACTCCATCGATGTTAACATTAATTATAGTCTAAATTATATTTAGCAATTGTTGTCTTTCTTGGATGGAACACTACATTACTATTTCAAGAAACTATAATTTTAAAAGTCCACACTAGAATAGGATAGATGTCTTTTGAAACATTCTGGAAGGATTAGTATTTAAGGCAGCTATACAGAAAGTAGTTTGCATGATTCCAATTTGAACATTATTTATAAATTAATTTGACAGGATATAAAATCAATTGCCTAATTATTGGTTAAATTTATCAAAGAAATTCTACTGAAAGGTGCTTGATTATGGTGCATAGTTATGATAATATAATCAAATTTCCTTTCAGACATAATTGAGCAATTTTGTTCCCTGATCCATTTGTTTCTCATTCTGAAGATGGGCTTCTTCATTTGTTTCTCCTTTCAAAGTAAAAAATAGCAAGTGCTGTACACGGTCATCCTGTAATTATTTGGTAAGATCTTTCCATGTTAAAACTGTACAGTTAAACACAGATCTAATACGCGGAATTGCCATAATTTAGAATGCTGTAAACACAGATCATGCCGTAATCCAAAGAGGTACCCGTGTCGGTGTTTACCAACCTGATCCATATGGCAGGGAGAAATCTGTAAGATGATACAGTTTATCATATCAAGTTCCCTAAATCTTAGCTAGCAAATTCAGCATTCCTCATAAACAGTGAATTACCCTTACAGATGTTAGACTATGAAATTATCAGCTACTGAAGGTACTTTGCTAGGAAACACAATCTGTTTGGCGTCAAATCTAAGAGAAGTGCTCTATCTGCATTTTTGACTCGAGAAAGGATTTAATTGATAGTTTGTTGATATTTTTAAGTAAATTCTTGCAAGGGATAAATAAATCACGCTACTGCAAAACAAATAATCATTGAGCATCCATCCTTGGCTAGCAGCATTTAGTGCATGCTGCTCTCCTTGGCTTAACTCTTCCAGAAATGATTACTCCAGGACCCATAAAACCCTGCGGAGCTCAGAAAAGAAGCTGCTACCGCTGCCCATATTATTACATATGAGCAGCTTAGGAGTCCCTCATATGAAAGATGAATTCTAACTGCAAAACACCACCACCAGGGCCAGAGTTATTGTTCTTTTTCATTTCTGTTTGGACTCGAGGGTAGCTTGATTCTAAAGAGAAAATGGCATGGCTCAAGCAGGGATGCAGTCTGGGCTGTGTGGTGCAGATTGTTGCCTTTACGTTTCTGATTTATAAAATTTATAATATGCAATAATATACTTGTCAAGGAGCAAAGACAAGTGAATTTATACAGCTTGTTTTGTGGGAGGAGGGAGGTTAGAGGAAAGGTGCTGTCGGCTGGTGAATTCTGGTCTGTTTGAAAAACTACTTAAAATTATGTTGGCATAATTGAATTCGCACAACTTACGTAACCAATAGAGGCTGAGATGAATCGGTGGCCGATGCCCTCACCATGTTAATCATAAAGGAGGCGGGGGCTCGTGAAGTCAGAATGGATTAGAGCCCACCAACAGGAACAGAACAAATGGATAGGTTCTACTCACTCCTGTTCTGCAAAATGTGACTAATAATGGAATCTTTCAGGACTGTTGTGAAACTACATGACACAACGTGCTCAAGTGCTCTGCCTGGAAAGGGCACATTACTATTATTCTGTATTAGCGGCAAGGGTTTGTTATTATTATTATTTTATTATTTGAAGTGCGATTTGAACATCTCAACAATGGTAGAAAGAAAGGATGAATTCCTGAGACCTGCTCAAATTATACTGGCTTGTTGATATTCTTAAAGTTGATAGAACTGAGTCAGCCAGCATCTGGGGCAGGTTTTTTTTGTTGTTGTTGTTTTTTAATCCAGAGATTCTTCCTGTAGGTCTGTGATGGGGTGGTTGACAGTTTGGTGAAGTGCAAAACACAGACCATGTTCTATTTCTGCTTTCCGCCGCACACTAGCTTCACCCTTGCTGCAGATCATTTGTAACCTCTCCGGGCCTCAATTTCCTGAAATAATTAGGGCCTGCACCACGTTTCCTATAATCAAAAATAAGATAATGGGGTTCAAGTGCTTTCAAAGGTAGTCATGTGCTCTAGAAACCTAAGGTCATCCTATCTGGTCGAGTCAGCCCCGGAGGACCAGAGGAGGTGGGCTACAGGACAGCATAGAGCCAGGCGCACTAAGAAAGAGAAGTGGAAGGCATTGGTCTGAAGGAGAGCCAAGGCCATTATCAGAGAATGGTGGTGAGAGGAACTTTCAAAGGGAGCCAAGTGGTTTGAATTTGAAACGGCGTTTTGGGAAAGGAGGCTAAAAGTAAATGCATTAGGGAAAGGTATTTCCATTGCCTGGGGACTGAGGGGCTGAGAGAGGCCAATTGTGTTGTAGTTGGTTAATAAAAGAAGTCTGTCAGGCTAAAGGGGAAACGGGGGATCAGTGAGGTAGGGAAGTTGGGGGAGCAAACAGAGATCTCCATGTTTCCCATGCAAACCGTGGGCACACTTTAGAGATTCTCTTCACTGCAGGTGGGTGGTGGGGTGGGAGGGTGAGTAATTCCCTCCCACCCCCGGTTGCCATATGAAGATATCGAAAAGCCACACAGCTAGAGAGAGTGATGGAATCAGTGCTTCCCACTCCCGGGCTAGACTCTTCGTCCACACAGCTGCACCTCAGTGAGGGGAGAACATGACCTTGCTCTTGGCTCAGTTTGTCTGAAAAGCACTGAGAGTGTCAGGGAGAGGCAGAGAGAAAGAGAAAGAGAAAAGGTACCCCCCGAGAAGGACGCAGATGGACAGCAAGGGGACATAGAGTGTCTCAAACAAACAGGAACATGAACCTAGGACAATAAAAATGGCCAGCCAGCACTCTGTTGTGCCACATAGTGTGATCTGTACAAATTGAAGAATTAGTCATAAAATTTGGGACACAAACTTCAAAACGCTTATTTTTATTCTAAGCGTAGTGAATGAAACATGCCATTCTTCAATGAAGGAAAGCCCACTCATCAATGGTGCCTTTGGAAAAAAAAAAAAAAAACACAACAGAATTCTATACAATCTATAGCCCTTCAAAAAAAAAAAAAAAAAGACGTTTCCCTAGATTCTATCTCAAGAACAGAAGGACTTTTGTTACTTCCTTAAAGGGCGCTGTCTCTTATGAGCTTATTAAGGCAACCTGCTTCTTTTCTTTCCATGTTGAAGCAACATTCTGTTGTTCTCTCTAAGTGGCTCCTTCAGCCTCTGCCAGGTGTTCGTTCCCCCTGCTCCCCTCGCTCGGGCGCTGTGTGAGCCACACGGGCACCCGGGCCGGGCTGCCCTTAAGGAGAGATTCCAACTGCGGCAAATTGGGCAGTGATGCTGAGATGGGTCCGACATTCCTTTGGGAGTTATGAAAAGACCGGTGACTTCAGTTGGGAAAGCAAGACTGCCGTAGAGACGCGAGGAAGAGAGGTCACTTGCTGTGTTACCTTTCTTTAAGGAGGGCAAGGATTTGGCGTATCTGACCCATCTCCACCCAATGAAAGGAGCAAGCGGCCAGGGTCCCAGCGTGCAGCACATTGGTGGATTTCTCAATAGCTGCCCACTCTCCATCCCGAACCTTGGACCCCAGGGAGAGAGGGCTGAGGGGTTCCCGAGCTCATACACAAGTAGCCAGTATATCCCCTATTCAGATAGTCTTATGTCTAATCAGAGTAATAGGACTTGTGTCTTTAATAGCCAGTGACAACGCTCTTGGGCTGAAAAGGGTGCGCAAATATCCACAACAGGTGAAATCAGGTGGTCGGTGAACTTGATGATAAACAGCTTTCTCCTCTTTATTACTCCTTTGGCTGTACTGTCACAGGGTTGGCTTGGTCCACTGGGCTGCTGAGAAGGCACTTACACAGGGAGTCTCAGGCAGAGTTGGGGGCGACATTCTCACTTTGGAAAGTGAGGAAAGGGGGTGCAGAATTCTCAATGGCACACGGATTGTTTTCTTTCCTCAGAGGAAAGCCTGCGTGGTTTTCTCATGGCCACGCGGATCATCATTTATCATAATAATGAGCATTTATATACCACTTGGCAGCTTATAAAGGAATCAGGGCAGGTATTATTATCCTCTTTCACAGACGAGGAATGGAGATTCAGAAAGATGGAGTTCTCTGTCCAGTTCACAGAGTGACAAACAGTAGAGCCGGTCCTGGAGCTCATGGCCACGACTCCGGTTTTTCATATAACATATTGCCTGGTTATGATGCTAACAGCCAGAGACAGGAGGCGTGGTTTGCAGGCTGGGCTCTGGAGTTTCCTCTGGTTTAATCATCTACTTTGGGAGGGGTCACTGCCACCTTTTGCAACTATGTGCTGCCTCCATGCCATTCTTAATGCACGCATCCCCTCCATCAATAACATTTCCTACAAGCTGCCTTCACTCTCAAGTCTCTCCTCCTCGCCGCCCCTCCACCCTCCGGCATCTTGCCCCCTCATCGTAGGGCACAACCCCATAACCATGTTCCACCCACAAAGGAGCTGGAGGTGGCAGTGAAGTTGAGATTTGAGGTCCCACAGAGCAGAAAGCCCAAGATTTAGAGGAGGCTGCTTGAACAGGGAGAGTTTCCTGAAGAAGGTGGGGAAAATCAAAAGAAAGACCCAGAAAGGCATGAGAATGAAACAGAAGCTTGGTGAGACAAGACTAGCTTGGCTGGGGATGGGGGTTGGGGGATGGACGACAGGAGAGAACTGAACCAGGAGATACATGGGAGCAGAGGGGTCTTCAAAGTGGAACGTGAAGATTCTGTATCCGGATACCCCCAGAAACAGCAGAGTAAACAGTTAAGCAGATAGATTGGTTCATTATTAAAAGGCACAGAAATAAAGGTTTAAACTCACCCGTAAGATTTCTTCGACACAGCTTGGATCACTGGGAAGGCTTACCTGAAATAAAATAAAAAACAAACAAACAAACCTTAAGCATGATCTAGCTCTTCTCAGAGAAGCTCGTTGTACAATATTTTACAGCACAGGCAAAACTGTAAAGAGAGTAAAAGCAAAAAGTATCTGCTAGTGGCCAATTTTGTTTTACGTTCATGAAACAGTCAGACCACAGTGCAAGGTGCAGAAAGAGAATGACTCATTCTGCCACTGATTTCCTGTGGGATGCTGGGCTCTCTTCCCCCAGCGCACGCAGGCTTTACTTTCCTCATCCCTCCAAAGAAGGGGCTCGACTTCCCTATCTTTAAGGCCTATTTGACCTGCTGACAGAGTTTAATATATGATTCATAATTACAGACTTTTAAAGATGAGGCCCATAGGAAACACCTCTATGATTGAATTAAGTTCTCTTTTAATTTCGGGGTCCAACGGATGCCTACAATTCTTCTCCAAAACACTAAGGTTAAAACTCCTGTGTAAACTGCACACTTGCCTTGGCACTCAGAATCTCACAAACATACAGGGGCGCATGGGTGGCTCAGTTGGTTGAGCTCCTACTTTGGCTCAGGTCATGATCTCACAGTGCGTGGGTTTGAGCCCCGCGGTGGGCTCTGTGCTGACGGCTAGCTCAGAGCCTGGAGCCTGCTTCAGATCCTGTGTCTCCCTCTCTCTCTTTCCCCCTCCCCTGCTTGTGCTCTCTGTCTCTCAAAAAATGAATAAATCTTAAAAATTAAAAAAAAAAATCTCACACACATACAAAGTGAATCCCATGAGCCGTCTTTTCAAGTGTGACATCTTCCCAATCAATCGAACTTCAGCCAACTAGCTGAAATGGACTGACTGGCGGAAATGGACTGACGGCTTCCTGCACATCCGGCACCTGTCTCTCTCCTCCACGGGCTCCATAGTCAGTGAAAGCAAGAAGTCCAACACCAAAGTGAGACACAAGCTGTAAAGCAGTGTCTGACAGGGGACTCAGGCATGGGACAACCGCCCGGGGAAAGGTCTGCTGGGCATGACGTCAATCGTGTGAGTTATAGGCACCCCCCCCCAAACATCTCTCTCTCCTTCAACCTTCACCCTCTCTGGGACTGCCATTTGTCACCTTCCACTTCCCTCCAGTTCTGGGAGGAGGAGAACATTTGGTTGCTTTAATTCACTGCCTTGGAAGGTGAAAGGTCAGTCCTGTGAAGACGGCACTGCCACAGAGGCTATATGTCCCGACCTCTTTCAGGGGCAATTAAGTGACAGCCTCCTAGTTAGTCCGATAGACTAAAGTATGAGCATAACCGTGTTTGGGGAAAATGGAAAATATATGGCTCCAGTGTCCCTCAACCTTATAAAAATACATGCTACAACCATCAGCAAACCTTAATTTAGCATTAAAGTCATTACTGCACATGCATTAATTTCAACCTTTATTTATTGAATTCTTTCTTCACGTAAAGGCCTTTGCTTCAGGAGCATGAAACCCCTACTGGGGGAGGCAGGCTGAGAAGGAGTCACCAGTAATGAGGGGGCCGTCCATCATCTAGGATGTTACACTGGTTATGCTGAAGGAATTATTGCCTGTGTCTCCTTTTGCCCTGACCAACGTCCCAGTTTGGAGGGCAAATCACACAGGTACCCTTCTCAGAACAATGATATTCTAGTACTGGGTAGAGACAACAGTAGAAGGAAAGACTAAAAAAGTGGGCCAGGCACACTTTCTAAAGGACCTTCGCTGTGTGTTTCCAATAGGGAACCACAGGTGGGTTGGCTCAGGACAGTTCATTCATTCATTCACGCAACACAAATTTTTGAGGGCCAGAGACTGTGCCTCCGGGCTTATGAAAAGTAAAAGGAGAGACAGTTACCTCCCTCCTGGTGTTCACAGACTCAGGAGGAAGGGGGATATGAGGAATCACAGAGTTAACTGCCACTGTAACTGCGGTAAGTGCTACAGAGGCCATCCCACAGACACTAGGTGTGCAAAATGAAAGCTCCCATGTCCAAATAAGTGCGGGAAATGCTGCAATCCACCCCCCGTGTGGAAATCCACCATGTGAATTAAAGGCTCTGAGACACCTGTCTAACTGGTTTAATGCAACACGTTCCCAACCTTCTTGATCATTGAATTCCTGGGTTTTTAGTTTTCGTGATTTGTGTTTCCCAATCGGTGATTACTAGCATTCGATAAAATGAGTGTTGAGAGATGCTGGTCTAACATACCACAGGATTCCAGAACTCAAATGATTAGTCTTAACAGCAAATACAATCTCACTCCATTGCTCAGTGCTCCAGCAACTGTATTTTCCAAGGCAACCCTTGAACTTCTAACAAATAAGCTCTGATAAAGGTCAACATGATGATAGCAGAATTAAATCTTCACTATCACTGTTGCATCATATCTGTGTGTGCCATCTGGGCTAAACATGTATGTCCTGCTCTCATAAAGAGGGCTTTGCTCTCTTCCTGCCCCCACCCCCAAAGATAGTATTAATTTGTAAAGTACAGAGAAACAAATAGCAATACACAGACTTAGCACGGACACTTGCCCACGGGTTTATAAAGAGCTGGGTGGGAGCTTTGGCCCCACCACTTGGGTAGGGCCCCTCTGAGTTCCAGTTTTCCCAACTGTACAATAAAGTAAAGTAAAATAAAATCACCATAATAATAACACCCGCTCCTTTCAAATCTCCCAGGGTTTCTGTGAGCAGCAAGTGAAATAAGTAATGCGAAAGTGCTTCGTACCCCGCAAAGCCCCACACAACGAGCCAGGTTATTACCCCTTGTCCTGTTGTTCTTCTTACTGCTTTATTATAAAGTCTAGTCTTCTTGTCTCTTCAAGGAAACACCTGACTCACTCTTGCCAACTGCACATATCATCCCCACACCTGGTATTATAAATATCCATTTCCTTATAGGGGAACTGCTGTCAAAATAGTAGGAATTGTCGACTCTGGGGCTTTGCAGCAAATCTAATAATGACTTCTTGGGGTGGCCAGCACTCCGGATTGGGAAGGACTCTACAGACAAGGGCAGTGAAAGAAGTATGCATCCACAGAGAGCGCGCTGATTGTTTTTCTGTTTAAGAAAACACTGGAATCCAGGACTGCCATGGAGTCACGAGTCCCGCAAACTCCTGTAGCCCTGCCCCTGTTTTCACCGAAAGGCAACTACATCTGAGTGGCAAATGCTTTTCCCCCGGCCAGTGCTTTTGAATTCACCAGCAAGCATTTCCTCTGCGCCTAGAATAGTGTTAGGAGTAGGACGTTGGTGATACAAAGAGCTATGAGCCTTGGCCTCTTTCTCCCAGAGTTAAACGTCTAGATGGGACGGCAAAACAAACAATTAGAGACCCACTGAGACATACATTGTAAGGTAGTCGTGACACGGGTAATAGGATCGCATTCACCGCCAGCCCGCCTATTCATCAGCTCTCCCATTTCTTTCTTTAGACAACAAATCCTGATTGAGCTCACACTGTGCTCAGGATGGTGCCAAGGGGGAGGGTTTGAAGACGCTGAAGACAACATAATTTCTGGCTTCCAGACTCCGTGCAAATTGGGGAGACAAACATTTACACGGGGAACAGACAATACGGAACGGGAGGTCTGACTTAGGTGTCGGGGAGAGGGGTACCTACCGGGTTGACAGACAGAGCCATGTCCGACAGAAGCTCCCAGCCGCCGAGGTCCCCACTGTAGTCCTCACCCCACATGGGAGTGGGAGGCCAGGGATCTGACATGGCCGAGAAGTGGCGGGGCCACCTGAGGCCACTTCAGTCTCTCAGCCCCCTGCGGAGCTGCGCGCCGGGGTCACTCTGCACACTGAAGACAGCTGCCCTGAGGCTGGGGCTCAGCCCCGAAATTTTGCCCAGTGGCACTCTCCCCACTTCTCTCTGTCTCTGTCTCTGTCTCTCTCTCTGTCTCTCTCTCTCTCTCTCTCTCTCTCACACACACACACACACACACACACACACACACACACACTCCCCACTTGCAGTACTTCTGAAGGAGTCACTCGGACAGGTGGGAAAGGAGACTAACGCTAGTGGTGAGAGTGGGACTAGAACTGCTGCCCAACGAGTTGCCAAGCTGCCGCTTAATTCCCGAGCCACCTTCTCCTCTCTTTCAATCCACTCTTGAGTATTCAGATAGTCCACAAAGCGCAAGTTAGCCACTCAGAGCTGCAGCGTCCTTTGCGTCCCCCTCTCCGCCCCCTCCTCCCAGAGCAGAGAGCAGGCTGTGCGCTGCAAAGGGGAGCCTGTGCTCTCCCGCCTGGCCCCCGACGACCCTCTCGTGCGTGCGGGGCACCGATGCGGTCCTCTGAGGGCCAAGCAAGGCGGGCGCACGGCGGGCAGGTGGTGAGTTGACTGAGAGCCCTCACAAGTGCCTACCCTCTCTGCACGTGACCGTGCAGCCTGACACCCCGTGCGGCCACAGAGAGACCACGCACGCATCATCTGCCCGGTGATAAATACGTATCTTAGGAAATAATCAGGGTACCTTTAAATCATCAAATATTCAATTAACTGCAGCAACAATAAATGAATTGCAAGGATGTTTTAATCATTCTAGAATTAATCAGTTTGGGGCATACTTCCTGGCGATTAGGGTAATACAACATATCAAAAATACCCTGATTGTGGCATTGAGAGACATAAGCAGCAGCTAGCACTAATAGAAAACACGGAGATTAATGTAAAACATTAAAAGAATAATGATCATCACATGGTTAACCCGGGGGAGCTCAATGCCTGCCTCTGAGTGCATTATTATTAAGGGATTGCGAAAGAAGAAGGGTCTTTTTTTTTTTTTTTTTGCTAAAATCACCCTGAGGTTGTCGTCCCACAATATCTGGCAATCAAAGCCCACCATTCCGGGCATATTCCACCTTGACAAAGGCTTCACAAAGTAAAACTTAAAAATCCCAAGCTTAATTGCCAGCGGATGCTTGGATTCCTGTAACAAGTGCAAGTGACACTGAGTGACACACCACGAACACCAAATACCACGCTG